TATATATATATTGTACTTGAGTAAAAGTAGAAGTACTCAGATCTTATGTAAAAGTAGAAGTACTCAGATATTGTACTTGAGTAAATGTAGAAGTACTCAGATCTTGTACTTAAGTGAAAGTAGAAGTACTCAGACTACTTGAGTAAAAGTAGAAGTACTCAGATCTTGTACTTGAGTAAAATCTTGTACTTAAGTGAAAGTAGAAGTACTCAGATCTTGTACTTAAGTGAAAGTAGAAGTAGCACACAGATCTTGTAGGCCTACTAGAGTAAAAGTAGAAGTACTCAGATCTTGTACTTGAGTAAAAGTAGAAGTACCAGAGTGTAGGAATACTCTGTTACAGTAAAAGTCCTGCATTCAAAATGTTCCTCAAGTAAAAGTAGAAAAGTATTCTCATCAAAATATAGTGAAAGTAGCGACAGTAAAAGTAGTCATTGTGCAGATTGGTCCATTTCAGAATAATAGATATGATATGTTTTATAATGATTGATCATGAAAGTGTTCTCAAAGCTGGTAAAGGTGCAGCTAGTTTGAATGACTTTGTATACTGCAGGGTAGCTTGTGGATTTACTCCAGGTGGAACTAAAGTCTGATTTAACACTTGATTATATTTCACATCATTCATCCACATCTGTAAAGTAACTAAAGGTATAAATACATGTAGTGGAGTAGAAGTACACAGTAGCTTAACATGGAAATACTCAAGTAATCTCAAAATTGTACTTAAGTTTAGTACTTGAGTAAATGTACTTAGTTACTTTCCAGCTCTGCTACTTACTAAATTAATCAACATTTTTGACACATCGATAATTGCTTTGCTTTTTGAAAGTACAGCAACATTACATTTTAAGTTTCGTTGCTGTCGCCACAGTTTGAGCCGTTGGTACGGTGTAATCTTTCCTTAGCTGAAGCAATCCATATTCTGTTGATGTATTTAGTATGTAGCCAAACACTAGAATGACCGACTCAATGCATTCAAATCCTTTCGTGGTGATGTTTCCCAGACCTCAAGAGAAGAGAGGACGTATCATGTGCTGCAGGCCAGAGGGGCTTTCCATTAGGGATATCAATAAATCAGAAACACAGAGGTGGTGTGCAGAGATCAGTCAGATGTCAGCACTCAGGGCATTCAGGCAGCAATCCCTTAAAGTGGGTTCCCGCCTCTCAGAGACCTGGAGCTCTGCAAAGCTGCGTGTCTCCTGCTCTTACATCCAGAAAGGGACATTAAAGAGGCGAGCGCTGCAGCGGGGAAATGTCACGATCACATGGTCAGGAGGAGCCTCGCCGGGGGGGGAATCTGGAGGGGAAGGTCTGTCGGGGTCAGAGGTCGCTGTCGCTGTTACGAAACCACCGCTGTGCTCGAGAAAAACAAACATGTGACTCCTCGGGTTCAGAGCTCTGCAAACAGTGACAGAGAGTCCTATTCTAACAGAGTGTCCTCCACCAACAGAGGACATGTGTCCACAAAGAGTCCTGTGTCCTCCACCAACAGAGAACATGTGTCCACAAGGAGTCCTGTGTCCTCTACCAACAGAGAACATGTGTCCACAGAGAGTCCTATTCTAACAGAGTGTCCTCCACCAACAGAGAACATGTGTCCACAAAGAGTCCTATTCTAACAGGGTGTCCTCCACCAACAGAGGACATGTGTCCACAAAGAGTCCTGTGTCCTCCACCAACAGAGAACATGTGTCCACAAGGAGTCCTATTCTAACAGAGTGTCCTCTACCAACAGAGGACATGTGTCCACAAAGAGTCCTGTGTCCTCCACCAACAGAGAACATGTGTCCACAAGGAGTCCTATTCTAACAGGCTGTCCTCCACCAACAGAGAACATGTGTCCACAAAGAGTCCTATTCTAACAGAGTGTCCTCCACCAACAGAGAACATGTGTCCACAAAGAGTCCTGTGTCCTCCACCAACAGAGGACATGTGTCCACAAAGAGTCCTGTGTCCTCCACCAACAGAGAACATGTGTCCACAAAGAGTCCTGTGTCCTCCACCAATAGAGAACATGTGTCCACAAAGAGTATTGTGTCCTCCACCAACAGAGAACATGTGTCCACAAAGAGTCCTACAGAGTGTCCTCCACCAACAGAGAACATGTGTCCACAAAGAGTCCTATTCTAACAGAGTGTCCTCCACCAACAGAGAACATGTGTCCACAAAGAGTCCTATTCTAACAGGGTGTCCTCCACCAACAGAGAACATAGAAACGTCATAATACAGAGCATCTAGAAGGAGCTGCTGCTTCTCGTCGTTACGCTTGAATAGGAAGGTGTTTTACTCGATGCACGCGAGAAAAGCTGAGGCCATGTGTCCGCAAGTTTCAAGTTTCAAGATTCAAGGCTTTATTCTCATATGCTTTTGGCTTTTGCAGACCACGTATACGACGTACAGTATCAGGCTGTGTTTTTTAAATTAGGGTTTTCTATTTTGTTTCATCACGTATGAGGGTTTTCAGTCTGTGGCTACAAGTATGGTTTTATTGTCTCGTGCTTTTACATTAGTTTATTTTTGTCCTGTCGGTTTTGTCTAAATGTATTTATGCTGCTTTTTACTTTGGTCAACTCTGTTTTTAAATGTGCTGTCTAAATAACGTTGGATTGGATGTGCACATTAGCTTCAGTGTAGATGTGTCGATGAAAAACTGAAGTCCCAGGCTCCTCCAACAGAGCAGCATGAATATATATAGAACATACAAAAACAATAGAAATAGTGCAAGAAGAGTTTATATACACGCAAATGGAATACGATATATTGTTTTTTGCAAAATGCAAACAGATGAATGTTTATGGATGTTCTTAACAAACTGCAGGTGTTTAATAATCTTATTCATGCAGGGTTTCCTCTAAGAATAAAGTTCATTTTGTAATAGCAGCACAGCTACAGACAACACGTTAAGAACCAGAACGAAACTCTTCAGATACCTCATTCACACCAACGGTGTTTCAGGGCCGGTTCGGTGCTGGAGCTTGAAAAGCACCGGGTTTTCCTGTTCACACCGCAGCGGAGCAACCTCTTAGCTCCGGAATCCGGTTTGTTTCGAGCAACAAAAAATTGTCCGGCCAGAGCAAAAGCACCGGATAGGTCACGCTTACGTCGAGGCGGGGGCAGGGGCGGGATCAACTCCTGAACAACAACACAAAGCCAGCATTTTATCCAGTTTGTACACAACGATGGAGAAACTTAACAAGCAGCAGTGGTCCACTGAAGAGACCAGCTACCTACTGGGAATCTGGTTTTCCGAAGAGGTACAGAAGAAGCTGGAGCACAGTCGGCCATTGTTGTTGTTGTCGGTGTCAGCTGTGAGGGGTTTCCGCGCGGTTTGGCTTTATGAAGCAGGTACGCCAACGGTTACGTCATGACGCAAACGATGACGCAATGACGCAGCACCAGCCGGACTCTGGGCGGTGTGAAAAGAGCCGGAGCTAAGCCGAAGAACCGGTTCTGAACCTGAAAAGCTCTAGCACGGAGCTTGAAACGGAGTTGCGTTGGTGTGAATGAGGTATCAGAGGGGCATGAGGAGGGGCTCCTTATTTTCATCTAAAGTAACAGACAGAGAATCAGCACTTTGGAAACAGGGCTGAAACAGAGGGGATTATGAGATGCTGCAATGATCTGTTTGGTGTTTGGAGCCAGGGGGCG